CTGCAGCTGCGCTGATGAATTCACTTCCGCCCTGACTTCTGCCGTTCTAAACGATCCATGAAGAGCGGTGCCTCACAACACCAACGATGAGTCCCGTCCGATCGTCACGCGCGTGCAGGTTCGATCAGTCCTGCGGTGTGCGCGACCTTCAGCGCGACCTTGCTACTCGTCCGGCGATTGTCCGGCGGCCTGACACAATGACCTCGGCGGCCGATGACAGGGCCGGTGCGGTCCTCGCCGGCGGTCGCCGCCAGGGGCCGTGTGACCGACGAGCGTGCCAAGGTCCCGCCGAGGCTCGCCCGCTCTCGTCTGATAGCCGAGCAATTATGTGGCGAAGTTGCGCGGCTGGCCTGTTGCACGCCCGAGCGCCGGCCGTCGCCCAACTTCGCTCCGTGATGGGCGCCCGTTTGACGGGCTGAAGGGCGGCCATTTGATGGGCTGAGGGGCGCCAGTATCGCGTTGCGTCTCGCGGCGTGTTTTGAGAGCGTCGTGGTCGACCCTCGAGCTGGCGACGAACGTTCGCTGCGTCGGCCGGGGTGTAGAGGTGGTGCTCGGTTTGACGAAAGCCACTTTCTCTTGCTGATAAATGTAGCATCCTTCACCTTAGCTTCGACAAGTGGAACACTTCGCAAATTTTTGCAATTATGGGATTTGGGCGTCAGCTATAAGCGTCACATTGTCTACCCCAGCTTCGACAGGTGGAACGCATCGAATATTCCTGTAAATATAGATTTAGGCGTCAGCGCCGAACATTTGCCGTCATATTGCTGAATGTATGGTACAATAAATTGCGTGTCATGTGAGGATCAACGTTGTCCACCCTGGCTTTACGGGCGCTTTGACTTCCAGGCAATTTGGCAACCATAACGTTATTCGATGCGACCATAGTCATAGAGTAACCGACATTTTCTATCACTGCGTTTCGGAGAATGCTATGACAGCTCGAATTCGAAGATAATGAATGTGCTCTTCATCGAATCAACAAAGCTCCGTCCTCGCAGCATTCAAACGTCAGCACCGTTCATACAACCCCGTCCGCCCACACGTTAATTCGATGCTTTACCGCATTCGAGCCAATATTTGCTCCGCTGTCCTATATTTGATTCGGGCTGAGAGATTCGCCGAATGGCGGCGTGTTCGGCGGCAATATTCCGGCACCGGATAGGCCGGGCTACGTCACGCCGCGGGGCGTCACAGCCGCGCCGCCGGTGGCGCCCACGCGCGCCGCTGTCGCCGCGCGGCCGACCGGCCGGTGCTCCGCCCTAGGCACGTTCCGCTGGGGCCGCACGTGCACGCGGCGGTGGCCGCGGCTTCCGGGTCGGTCGGGGGTTGTATTGCGCTGGGCGCAGCCGCGTCAGCTGAAGGCGTCTAGGACGTGACGGCCTCCGGCGGCGCCGTCTGCCTTTGTTCTCGGCGGAAGCGTGGCAGTCGGCTGGCTTATGAGAGGCGCGGGAAAGGAGGGCCGCTTTTGACCGTGTCAGCGGCTGACGGCTGGAGAGCACGGCAGTTGAATAATCAGGCCTGTCGGCGCTGAGGTCACTTGTTGGTTCTGACCAGACGTCCGGCGCTCGCAGCTGAGTCAGTCCACCACAACGATTGACCGACGCAACAAGCAGCCGTCGCTACTTTGTTTCATCCGTCGCGCAGCAAAGTGAATTACAGGAGGGCTTGTCACTGCCAACAAACAGGTCGTTTTAACCTCTCTGCATGGCGAATCACGTAAGAACATCAACGTTAACCCTGATCTTTACAGATTTTAAAGCACGTTGTTTTCTTATTGCCAGGCGGATCTGTTTCCAATCCGATAAATGCATTCTGCTCGCTTGTCTGATAGCTGTCGTCTAGTCTGTATGTCACGTCCGATGTGTTTTTTCGTAAAGTTCATTGTTGTGTGCAAGTTAACGATTTGATAGATATGACCTGAGCTTACGTGATCTAAAAAACGGGTGTCTCTTCCGTCGGGCGTAGAGCTCTTCATTAGTTTCACATTCATAATGTTTTGCTAGTTGCCTCTGTTGTAGCGTCGGATCGAGCCGAGCCGTAACTCATGTGTGTATGTGTGACACCAGCCAGCACGCCCACACAAAATATTGATGATTGACGTACCCGTCGTAACGAGTAGCGAAAAAGAGCGTTAGAGGATTGCATGAAGAACGTTGGTGGGATATCAGGGCTTTGGCAACAGTGCAACTTTTGGCTGGTTAACTGTTCACTGCCGTTAGGTATGTGAATGAGGGCGACAGCTCTGCAAACCGGGGCTCATCAGCAATGAAGGCACTTATATCAACCGGGCTAACATGGATCGGACGTTTCGATAGCGCAGTTATTGGAGAGAGAAAACAGGAGCTGTCCTGTGCCCTGAGGATACCCCAAAATCTGCACGACGGCCTATGGGTATCCGACAGGTCCATTGGGTAAAGCTTGGTTTTGTTCGGCCCGGAATCTCGGCGTCATGCGCGACTTATGGAACGCAACGTTGAAGAGAAGGGACGACCCCTCTTTCAAGCTATGATATGTTGAGCTTTACATTCTTTCGAAACTACATTGGCCTCCGTATGTTTGTCTCGGCTTCCTCAACGCGTGACAAGATCATCACAATTCCGCCAAACAAGAAACCTGACACAGCACATCTGTCTTGTCGTCAGGGACTTTGTCCTCCCCCATCTTCCCGAGTCGATGGTATTCGTCCAGTTTGCATGCGATAATCCAATGTGTACGCAATGTACTGCAATTGTCCAATGGTTCTTTGTTGCCTGAAGTCCAGGCTGTACTTCCCCTGGTATATGACATCGCTTTCATCAGCCGCCGATTTATCCGTCTGGTAACCAACCCCAATTAGATTCGTTCCATTAGAATTCAGTGCTTTCTGATCCGAACTTAACTGAACTATTTGTCTTGACCTGATGTCTCCGTTGCAACTGAGCTTTTTAAAAGTTCGGCTGGGAGGCGAACGCGTATATTTGTCGATGAGTACCACCACAGAGTGTGTGTGAAACCGTATGTTGATTCGTTATTGGCGACATCGAAGTGGATTTTTACAGAGAAGCGATGATGCACGAAGTGGAAGTGACCGTGGAAGCGCGTTAACACAGGTTCGATGGTACTCCACCTTAAAGAAAGTATGCCACTTTTTGTGATTGTCACTCATTGCTATATCAGACGTGTTCTTTACGATCGGCAATACCAGTTTTCTCAAAATCATTCCGAACAGCTCAGAATTTCGACCTTAAGTAGTCGCTTCTGCGCTAAAATATCAATGAACTCCCTGCTCACCACTAGGAAAGACATATTTTGAATCTGCTTTGTTTTTCAACGTGTATCCCCTGGCATGTTTGCAACATTCTAATTTGTCAAAATTATTGTGTAGGAAATGCTTCAAAAGCTTGGAGCACTCCATTTAAAGAAGCAGATTTGCACACATGCGGCTATTATCCCGTCACGAAACGTTAGACTACGGCTTTGATTTCTTCACTTTGGCATTTACCACAAGAGCTCTTTTGGAAGTTCGTTTTGGATATGGGAAATGGAGTCTCACATGGTCTTTAAGTGATGCACTGGTTCAAAATTCAACTAATGCGGTAAATTTCTCGGTAACCGGCCCTTGCCGCCCGCTGTGCCAATCACAAGCGCTCATTTATACTGACGACATTCATATCAGGAGTGGTGTCACTTTTAGTCCCGCAGGTCCGCAATGTACGGGTTAAAATGGCTCAAAAGTGGCACCTCTAATTCGCAACAGCTGATAACAGTAAGAAGTGCAATGTTGTTACAAAGCATTGGCAGCGTTATTTGGACTTGGAAATAATGAAAATTGTATTGTTCTATGTATTGGCGATGCTGCAGTGACACCATCAAGTGCTATTATTAGACTAACTAATCCTGAGGTTTCACGAAAGTATGTCTTTTTTAAATATGCCCCAAAGGTAGGACACCATTCAGCAATCTGTCGGAAACAGCCGTCGAGCAGCGGGCCCCTCGTGAGGTGTTCCTGGCCTGGTAGGCCGTCCCGCCGGATCGTCGCTCTCTGCGGCACAGCATCGATCCTGATCTTTCCTGACAGAGGCTGGCCACGACTTCGCCGCCTTGACCGGAGCGTTTTGCTGTTGCAGGTCGTGTGACGCAGGTGGTGGGCGTGTCGGGCCGCCGCGTCGACCTCCCCTGTGACATCAGCACCACGGAGCCGGGGGACCAGCCGGTGCTCGTGCTCTGGTACAGGGACAGCGAGGGCACGCCGACGTACAGGTGAACTGCAGCTGTAACGTCTTTGCGGCGCCGGTTATCCCGGAACGCAGTATGGTTTTTGAGGTATATGCAGTATATAAATTTATATATATATATATATGTAAATATGTATATATATATATATATATATATATATATATATATATATATATATATATATATATATATATATATATATACTGAATAGACTGATCAAATGCCCTTCAGACTCAGGTTTTACTGAGATGCAGTTGTGAACAGTGCCGACGTTAGTTTATGCCTCGATCTCACTTGAACTGTGGTCAGGCGGAAATAACTAAGGTAGTTGACGCATTCTGAAATCTCATTAGCCATCAAACATGACTGTGGTCATGTTTCAGAACATGACTTTGATGAAGTTGTGGCTACACACTCTTAAATGGCATACTGGCATGGTTCATTCGAAGCATGTTGTAGCTATTATGTACATATATATATATATATATATATATATATATATATATATATATATATATACATCCAATGCAATTATGTGCCCAAGGCCTGATTTACTAGCCTGGCATGTGAATGTCACCAAACGTGTATGCAACATTAAGACATTTCTAAAAAACGGGCATAACTTTCTACGATTACTCTACGAGACTGAATCCACGTGGGCGTGACACTGGGAACGCTTTCGTTATCCTGTTCATCGTCGCCTCGTTCAGCCTGAGCGTGACCTGGCCGTCTGCGGCAGTTTCGACGCGCGCGGCGGCCGCTCCTTCTCGGACGGCTCGGCCATGTCGGACCGCACCCTCAGCGTGCGCGCCACGTTCGTGGGCGACGCCAGCCGGCCGGCGCTGCGTCTGGCCACGGTGCGGCCCGAGGACGCCGCCCTGTACCGCTGCCGGGTCGACTTCCAGCTCAGTCCGACCCGCAACCAGCGGGTTCGGCTGACAGTCATCAGTGAGTGCCGGCCTGCGACAGAGCCCTGGGTGGTGCGGAGCTCAGCGGGCAATGCGTATCACGTAGTATTGTTCGGAGTATCACGGACAGAGTAGTTGTCCGGAGTATCACGGACAGAATGGTTGTTCGGAGTATCACGGACAGAATAGTTGTTTGGAGTATCACGGACAGAGCAGTTGTTCGGAGTATCACGGACACAGTAGTTGTTCGAAGTGTCGTCCACGTCTGGTGTGCTTGTACGTAATCAATGGTTCGGTCAGTTAACTCTTCGGCCGTCGTCAGGCGTTACTGATTCCGGAGGAGGCCTGGATGATGTTTGGCATCAGCGATGCATTCGCCACAACCTAGGCTTTCTCCTTTGGAATTGCTGGGATTCGATCCAGGGTATTGAGATCGCAGTTCAGATGGCATCAACGGTCACACGCTCAGATGTTCAGATGCCATCACTGGGTATGGGATGCCTTTAAGCACACGTTTGTCGTGCTGCCAACGCTGCTGCAGTCAATCTTACAGTGGGCTGCGTTATCATGCTGCCGCGCAGGTGAGGGGTGCACATTGGTATGGTGAATACCTCTGTTGTGCTTCCCTCACATAATGCATCAGATTTATTTCAGTAACGCAATCCAATGAATGGACAGTTTTGCTATCCACAAATGTATTCGATGGATGAAAAGATTTGTTTTGTAAGTATGAAAATAGATGCTACAAAACGTCATCTTTTCCCAAAGAGGTGCAAGCTTTGCTGATATTCTAACATATTCACCAGCTGCAAGTGTGGCAGCAGCGTGTTGGCGACACTGTTCGGGGAAAGTCTGAGTGTGTGCTCGGTCGCCCCCAGTTCCGCCCAGCCCGCCAGTGGTGACCTTCCGCGGTCGGCCCGTGTCCGGCAAGATCGGCCCCCTGGCGGAGGGCGAGCCTCTCGAAGTCACTTGCCTCTCGCACGGTGGTAAGTGAGCCGGACGTAGGGACGCCAGAGGCCTGCTGACATGCGAAGCTGGGGTTCAGTACCGGCGCTCAGCATGGTCAGCATGGGTGCAGGGACGCGGGGGGCCAGCTGTTACCCGAAGCTGGGATTCAGTATCGGTGCTCAGCATGGTCAGCATGGGTGCAGGGACGCCAGAGGCCTACTGCTATCCGAAGCTGGGATTCAGTACCGGCGCTCAGCATGGTCAGCGTGGGTGCAGGGACGCGGGGGGCCAGCTGTTACCCGAAGCTGGGATTCAGTACCGGCGCTCAGCATGATCGGCATGGGTGCAGGGATGCTAGAGGCCTGCTGTTATCCAAAGCTGGGGTTCAGTACCGGTGCTCAGCATGGTCAGCATGGGTGCAGGGACGCCGAAAGCCAGCTGTTATCCGAAGCTGGGATTCAGTACCGGCGCTCAGCATGGTCAGCATGGGTACAGGGACGCGGGGGGCCAGCTGTCATCCGAAGCTGGGGCTGGAGTACCGGCGCTCAGCATGGTCAGCATGGGTGCAGGGACGCCGAAAGCCAGCTGTCATCCGAAGCTACAGCGTTTTGCTACGGCTGCACAGCATGGACTTTGTAGTTGTCTTCTGCATAGAAGCTTAAAGTGTATGGATTGGATGATTATGCATGCGCCGAGATATTTTCCAGACCATCTTTAGGTGTGTCGCTTTTCTTCATTGGCCATGTTTTTGCACAAAAAGAACACGGTACAGCATTACTAAGGCCTTGATGAGCAAGAAATGACGATTTTTGTCTACCCGTTCCGAATGGTTAGCACGAATCGCCTTGATTTGTTAACAAGCGTCCGGGCGGCCGGCTGGATACCCTTCGCTTGGGGGGTCAATTTGACCCCCAAGATCTCAGAAATTAAGGAAGCTAAAGACACCAAATTCACGGGGTGTATTGGCCTGTACGGGAACTCACTTAGGTCAAAGTTTCAGGTTCTTTAGGTCACGACATTTTGGTCAAATCAGGTCAAACATGGTCAAATTCCAGGTTGGTCTCCAAAGTGCCCCCAGAGCCTAGATAACCGTTTCTAAGCAAAATTGCACACGCTCATCTAAGGTCAGTGACCTTGTTTGACCATTTGAAGGTCATAGTGACAAAAATCATAGATGATTGCCCGGAGTTTGCATTTGAATAGGCGACCAAGATTAAGGTGGGCAGTATGTTCCTAAAAACAAAATGCTGACCTGGATCATTTTAGACCAATGACCTTTTCTGACCTCTTAGAAGTCTATGGAAGATGCGTGATACGTTTCCTGCTATCAATAAATTCAAAATGAGCACCAGAAACTTTCCCATAAAATAAACACTAGAGTAATAAAACAGGTTGTTTTTACCTTGGTCTGACCTTCATACCTGACCTAAGGTCAATGTAATTTGCTCATTCAGCTGTTGTGTTGCCTAAGAAAACATCTCAGATATGTATGCCTTCGTCTAACACTCCGCTATTGCATCAGATTGAACGATTCCCTAGAAACTGACTTTGCTGAAACTTTGGCTTGACTTTGATCTACTATAGGTCAGCGACCTTGCATGGTACATCTAGATTTGTATGGCAAACGATCCGCTGTTCAATCGTCCACAGCGATGCAAAATTTGGCGTGGCTATGCCGCGCCGTTCGGAATCCATTCTGGAAAAACTTTCGAAGGGGGGGGGGCAATTTGACCCTTTCCCACCCGAGCGCGTGTTAATCAAAACGTTCGTCTTTCATCTGAAGCCGTTACCCCAAAATGTGCCGTTGTAGTTAATCGCCTAATTTACCTTTGGTATTCTTAGCCCAACGAGTCAATGGAGGGATCTGATTCCTTGGAGAGCAATGCAACGCACTACGTTCGCTTCAAATTCTTGACGAAAATCTCCAGCTCATCTTCCCATGACGTTTGATGGGCGTAAGCTTACACCAAAGAGTATGTAGTTCCAAACCGATTTGAAGCCAACTGCTATCATGCACTGTACCGGGTTAATGTTGCGCTTTCACGGAGCGTGGGATAGTGATGGCGAAGCTTGCCCCGGCTCCCAGGCGTGTCTTTCTGGCCGAATATAACGGGCCTGTTACTACTCGTACCCAGTGCCTCTTGAATACAGGGCACACGTATTCCTCTATGTAGACCAAGGAGGAGGACTTCATGCTTCAAGCTTCTACCTTTGAAACCAAGTATTGTGGTTGGCACTGTCTTCCACTGCATGACGACGTGTGAGTTGTTTTCCTATACGGAATAGAAATTACATCAACTTTAGATAGGACAGCACTGTTAGCCTTATTTATTTTAACATAACTAGGAGAAAGTAGAGATCGGTGCATTGACATTTCGGCTGCATGCTTTTAATGAAACGAGTATCATGAGTAGCTTTAAAATTGCCTGCCAGGCCCGCTCAAATTGTAAGGACTCTTTTAAACAGCGAGCCACTGTTTCTATCAGTCACCAACAATCAATCTCAAATGCTGCATTTTGTTGCTTGCTCCAAATACCCTATGTTAGCATAATGCGGTTTTGTAATGGTCGTACACTGTTCGTCTATAGCCATGTGGGCTCTCCTGTTGTGACCTTTGGCTTACCTTGGCTTATTTGGAAAATTTCGCATTGAAACCGTGGTGGTCCTTGGTAAACAACCAGACCGATCCGGATGTGCCACAGTGGCTAGCCGTAAGAAGCCACACACCCCAGCGTCTGAGGCGAGCAGTGTGTGGATGAAGTGTTATAGAAATATTTTGAAAATGACTGGGGGCCCGGAAGACCCGAGCATCGCCGTTGTTTTTAATCAGGACTTGTGCGTAGTGTTCGACCGCAATTTGGGGTCGATGACCCCAACTAAAAATGCTGTTCTAATGCTCGAGCGATATTCAGATTCCTGTCTCAGAAGGGGACGGGTGCCCCTGGGAACAATGCAAGCCGAGTCAATAGGCTGTTAATGGCTTGCGGGGCTATAACGGCCTACGGGGTCCTGTGTCGTAGGCTGGCGCCATTCAGTGCGCATTACTGGGCGCGGCTGCACACAGCTAGGCGCCCCCGGTCATTGCTGAAAGATACCCCGGGACAGCAAATGTCCCACTGCACTGTCAGGCAACGTCACCGTGACAGTTTTTATGTGCTTGACTGCACCTGCTTTGAAAGACCCGGCTCCGACTTTTTGCAGAGATGCACTAACCTGACTGAAAGTCTTATAGAGATATAGTTGGTTGATATTGCGGCAACGTGCCTTTCTCGAAACAATAGCAGAAGCCAATATAAATTCTGCTATTGTTTCGAGAAGGGCATGTTGCCCGAAATAGCAACCTAACTATATGTCTATTCTCCTGGTTTTTTTCCAAGGAATAATGCTAATACTACTGTCTTATCTATGTTCATTAACACGCACCCAGGTGGCTAGCTAGTTACCCCTCGCTTGGGTGGGGGGGGGGGGGCAATTTAGCCCCCTGAGATCTCAGGAACTAAGAAAGCTAGAGACACCACATTTACAGGGTGTGTTGAACTGTACGTGACTTCGGTCAAAGTATCAGGTTCCTATGCCATGATCTTTGGGTCAAATAAGGGCAAACAAGGCCAAGTTCCAAGTTGGTCTCCAAAGTGCCCCCAGAGCCTAGATAACCGTTTCCAAGCAAAAGTTCACATTCTCATTTGAGGTCAGTGACCTTGTTTGACTTTTTGAGGGTCAAGGTGACCAAAATAATGCAAGATTGTTTTGAGTTTTGCATTTGACTAAGCGCGAAGATTACGCTAGGCAGTATGTTTCTAAAACTAAACGTTGACCTGGGTCAGTTTAGGTCAATGACCTATTGTGACTTCTAAGAAGTCCATGGATGATGTGTAACGCGGTTCCTGCTATCAATAAATTAAAAATGAGCACCAGAAACTATCCCATACAGCAAGCCCTAGAGTAACAAAAGAGGTTGGTTTTGGCCTTGGTGTGACCTTTATTCCTGACTTTAGGTCAACGTAATATGCTCATTCAAATGTTGTGTTGCCTAAGAAAGCATCTCAGAGATGTATGGCTTTGTCTAACACTCCGTGGTTGGATCAGATTGAAGGATTCTCTGGAAGTTGACTTCGCTGCAACCGTGACATGACTTTGACCTGCCATAGGTCAACGACCTTACACGATACATCTCAATTTTTAATCCAAACGATCTGCCATTTAATGGTCTACAGCTATGCAAAATTTGGCGTGGCCACACCGCACCGTTCGGAAGCCATTCTGGAAAAACCTCCGGGGGGGGGGTCAATTTGACCCCCACTCCCACCCGAGCACGTGCGAATGTTCAGATACAGACATGGCATAAACACCACTGACAGCAGCCTGGGTTAAAGGGCATCTGAGCCTCTCTTCGGCCAAATAATAAGTTTTCAATGAATGGTCTGCAGAAAGCAAATACAGCAATCTGTTAGGTCCCTGAGCCTCTCTTCGGACGAATATAAGTTTTGTCAATACATGATTTGGTCAGAAGACAAATGTAACAATATCTGCTGTGATAATGTCATTGCCTCTGTTTTGGCCACCTTTGGCCACCAAGAACCAAACATGAGCTAATGCCGCATATCAGCTCCCTCGGTACAAGCGCCGTTGTAGGACGTTCACATTCCTTATCACGTAGCACGCCTGTTTGGTTTGCTGAGCCGTCACCGATGGCGGCTTGGATAGCACCCTGTCCAGGCAGCGACGCCCCACAGTGTGGCGGCAGCCGTGACTCTAGGCCATGTGTCCGGGGAGCCATGTCTTCGGACATCTATCGCGTCGCTGTGTGGTGGGGCTGGCAGCTGACGAGATATATCGTGCATTCCTTGAGTAAAGCGTTGTCGTCGAGCGGACGAGGACCGCGCACAACGTACGAGGCGGAACGAGAGGCCGCGCACGCCAGCTCAACGGTCACCCAACATGCGTGTTTTTGAATTGTGGATATTTCCGGCAGCTATCTTCTAATCACATGTGATATAATTTGCTCTTTGATAGGCCTTGAATGCATCCTGCAAACAGAGTTACGAGGAGAAATGCAACATGCAGATTTCACTTTCGTTTTCTTGAGGGCACCTCGACGGCATAGGTCTCCATCCAGCGTGTATCTGTGTGGCCTCTATGAGGTAGTGCGCTGACTTTTCTATGCGTCTCCCTCTTCAAACATTTATGCACGCCTCTGGACTGATTAAAATCAGAGCAAAGTTCTTCACTTAAAAACAAACTTAAACACAGCACTAGACTTCTCCAAGGTGTTTGTTTATTTGGACCGCTCCTAAGAAAGCTTGTAGAGAACTGCTCACGATGAACGACGTCCTCGGATTGCCACATCTATGCGAGGTTCTGTGCTTGATGTCAGACCAATGGCTTATCATTCTTTTCACAGTATTCAAAAACAGCCAAAATAAAGACTAGACAGGCAAACCAGCAGAGGGTGTAATGGAAGTATATATATATATATATATATATATATATATATATATATATATATATATATATATGAGAATATTTTGACACGCCAAGGGCATGCGAATATCTTGCGAGCTTAATTTGATGCCGTTTGAACGGTGCCGCGGGGCGTCGTATGACGGTCCGGCACCCATGTGCTATCAGCAATAAGACGCATCCCGCCATTGACCGATTCCAGCCGGCTATCCCAGGACTAAACCGGAGCCTCACATGACCACGTCCCGTGTGTGCATTTACCGTGTGAGGGCGCGCGATGTTTAGCAAACACAAGCCCCCGCCACTGCTTGTAGCCTGATACGTGTTTGTTTTCAGTTCAAAGCAAGCAAAACAAAGCAAAGCTCGTGTCTGAAAATTGGTCCGGTACACCACATTTTTTGAACAGCACACTACCAATCAAAGTTCCTAGCTGGAAATGCGTGGGAATTTCAGAAGAAAGTGTGATTATCAACATGGTCACGTTAAACAGCAAAATTCCGTCCAAAAAAGCTAAGATTAAACTACCCACGTGAGTCATTAACCTTTCCAACTGGGCTTATAGCTAACCAATTGCAGCCTAGCTGCAGACATCCCGAGTATTCGTGGTAATCCAGAGCCCCAGTTTTGTCGCAGTCATGCATTTCAGTCAGGGACAAATCAGACGAAAAGGTGCAAGATAACTCATGGAAGCATGGCAGGGAGCAGAGCCCTTGTTTGCATGACAGCAGTTCAGCTGCCACGTAGACAATAGGTCGTCGTTATGCCATCAGGACGGGGCTGAAAAGGCCTCCTTTGGTGGCAATGAAGAAAAACTTGATAGCTAGTATTTTATGTTGCAAACGCTGTTGATAAGTTTCGTACCGTTTCACCTTGACGTGCCCTTTGACTGCAGGGGATCCCCATCTCACTTGGAGAGGTTGTATGAGGACGGCACTTGTCCCCCCCCCCCCCCCCCGCCGCCCTGAGTTGACATGTTATAGGAGTTCCCCAGTTTGGCGTCGACAAATGCTGTCTTTCGTTCTCAGGCTACCCGGCCCCGCGGGTCACGTGGTCCCGTGACGACCGCCTATTGGACGACTCGGACGGACCGGACGGGTCAGGGCGGGTCATCAACGTGCTGCGGCTGCCTCCTCTGGGTCGCGAGGACCTGCACACCCGGCTGGTCTGCTCGGCTACCAACAACAACATCAGTCGACCGGTCACCACCCAGGTCGTCCTCGACATGTACTGTGAGTGGTCCGGCTAGTGATGACGTCACATACCGACATGTACTGAATGGCCCGGCCCATGACTACGTCACATATTGGCGTTTTTTGCGAGTGGTCCGGCTCGCGGTGACGTCACATATCGACATGTACTGTGTGACAGTCTGTGATGACGTCACATATCGACTTGTGCTGTGGGTGGTCAGGCCCGTGGTGACGTCACATATAGGCGTGTACTGTGAGTGGTCAGGCCCGTGGTGACGTCACATATAGGCATGCACTGTGAGTGGTCAGGCCCGTGGTGACGTCACATATAGGCATGTACTGTGAGTGGCAGCCGGCGGTGATTTGCCTCCCCGACAGTAATTGGATCGAATGGAGACCCATCCATTGTTGTTTTCTTTTTTGTGTCTGCATGCACTAATGACGACAATTCGCTTTGAAGCTTAGCATTGGCTTTGAACCCGTTTTGCAAGTATTTGTACGTCGAAGCATTATTACGTCAGGAACGCATGTGTGTGTGTGTATGTGTGTATGCCAGCTGTGACCAACACGTCGACGTCGAGGAGTGTATGTATGCAGCTCTCATCTACATGTGTATGTATGCCAGCTGTGACCTACACGTCGACGTCGAGGAGTGCATGCAGCTCTCATCTACATGTGTATGTATGCCAGCTGTGACCTACACGTCGACGTCGAGGAGTGCATGCAGCTCTCATCTACATGTGTATGTACGACAGCTGTGACCTAAACGTCGAGGTCGAGGAGTGTTTGTATGCAGCTCTCATCTACATGTGTATGTATGCCAGCTGTGACCAATACGTCGACGCCGAGGAGTGTATGTATGCAACTCCCATCTACATGTGTATGTATGCCAGCTGTGACCAATACGTCGACGTTGAGGAGTGTATGTATGCAGCTCTCATTTACATGTGTATGTATGCCAGCTGTGACCAATACGTCGACGTCGAGGAGCGTATGCATGCAGCTATGATCTATATGTGTATGTATGCCAGCTGTGACCTATACGTCGACGTCGAAGAGCCAACTCTCCTTCATCAAATGGCTTCTAGTTGTGAAATTAGAACCTATAACGCTATTTTGAACCTTTAGTCCGAGCCGTTTGACTGCATGGATTTCTTAGATAAGAGTCTATACCATCAATGTTTGTCGCGTGAGGATTGACTCCACCACCTCGCCTGAAATCTCACGGTAATGGCAGAAGTGGGCGGCGAAAGTTTACCGTGCCGTAATGTTCGGCATGGTCTATCCTGCCCTCTGAGGTCACCTGACCTTTAACAGCCGCCGCCACCGGCCGCAGGCCTCCCTTGCAGGCGGCCGTAGACCATCCCAGTCAGGGGCGAGTGGAGAGGACCTGAGGTGATCATAACCCACTCCGCTGCAATAGCGCAGACAGGGGGAAAAGGCACAGGGTATGCTCCTCCCCCTCCCGCCCTTAGGTCCTGAGGCATTGTTAGGCCCCGGGATTAAGGTAACGGACGCGATTTGGGGCTGATTTGAGGATCTCAAGGTCCCGAAGGACAGCCAAGAGGTCACCTGAAGGGGCCCTGCTGGAAGGGGCCCTAAAGGGGCTCTAAAGGAAAACTATCAGTCAGAGCTGGCCTTTTGCGCTGATTGGATGCTCTAGGTCGACGAAGGCCTCTATTGGTCGGACATCACGGTACCGAACAGTCGGCTTCGTGTCGGTCTGGGCCTGAGGGCCCATTTGCCGAGGAGGCACAAAGCCGCGATTTACATTGGGCGGGGTCCCTGAGTCACCGAGCCCCGCACCCGTTGTCGGTCACAGTGCCTCTCAGGGGTCCTGTGTTAGTGAGGGGACCCTGGTTGCCGGCCCGGGGGAGTGTTCGATCGGAACCGATCATCGAGGATCTGATTGGAAGGCTGAAGAGCCCGAATGGCTGGCTGTAAATCACGCTGAGGATGCCAGCCCGTGGGCCATGACCTCAAGTCACAGTCAGAGGGCCTCTTGCACCGAATGAACAACCCCTGGGATAATGCGGGCCCCTATTCCGGCCAGGGACCTTCAACGTCAAGCGTTGGGCTCCGTGTCTGTCTGAGCCCTGGGGCTCAGTTGCCAAACAGCGACGAGGCCGGGACCCGCGATTTGCACCGGCTGGGGCCCCTGCAGCAATGAGAAGCCCCTGTGTCGGTCAAGGTCCCACAGAGCCTAACAGGGGTCTCTCTGCCGCCAAAGAACTCTGAGTCGGTTAGAGGAACATTTGCTGAGAAGGGACAGAGACGGGACCCTGAACGCCATTGGACCTCTTGCGTTGGTCTGGGCCCGCTGCCAATGAAAAGAGATATGGGAGCTTATGGTGGGAGCCCATAATGAGGCAATAAAAGGGCCCTGCGTAAGTTAAAGCCCCAGTACGGAACGAGTCCCCTCCGTTCCATCTCAGCGAACGGCCGAAGTGGAGTATCCGTGTCAATTATTGGACCCATTGCAGCAATAGGAAATCCTGCTACGTCAATGAAGGCTCCTGCGTCGATCTGGAGTTAACTGCCCGAGTCAGAAGACCTCCACATCAGGTAAAGAATCACGTTATTGTGTATCCCTTAAGGGCCTCCAGACGACCAGATAGCCCTCACCGTGTGCGTCCCGCCAGAATGGCAGCCAGCAGGCAACCTGCGGTGGGACGGATGACCCTTCTCCATTTGGCCGGGAACAATAATATGGCCCCTAATGTACTACCCATGCGGCCCTTGCCCGGAAAGAAGTGTAAGAGGTCTCATTAGTTTTAAAAAGAGTGTATCGAAATGAGTTCATATATTTAAAAAGCAGCAATCTTTGCCTGAGAAAGCCCACACATTTGCAGAATATACTCGCGAAACGAATTGCATGAATAAAGTTTGAGCCTCAGCGCTCGCAATCTCGGGAGCAAGGACAGTGATGTCTATCTTAACACACTTGATCACCACATTCTAATTTACAATCTACGTTCACGTGGTTCTCGATGTATTTGTATAACCTAAATCAGGTTCTGGCAAAGCTTCTGAGTTCTGTTAGTTTAAAAAGACCAGGCTGGACTGCTTTAAAATGAACTGAATCAGCGACATATTCCGTGCAACGATGTGACGCCGCGCTCTTTAGTTTACTAACATGAAGATACGAACATAAATGCATCTTCCCGTAGTTTCTGGCGTCTACTCAAGTAAAAAAGTTACAAACATAAATCAAATCAAGAAAATTGTGCCCCCTCGAAATCAAGTGGGCTGTGTCCGATTATTTTTTGCAAGGAGGAGGCTCTTTCATTAGGAGGCCTTTTGTCGACCCTGTGCCCTCCCCTCGCCCCCCTTTCTAAGGTTCTGCCTGCACCGATGCTCCGCCGCGGGTGAATACAACGGCTGGAGTTCTAACCAGCGGAGCTACAGGGATGGGCGACAGACGGAGCTCTCGTTTTGCGCAAGTGCGCGTGCAGATCCTGTTGCTGGTTCAGCCACCTTGAAAAATCGGTGTACGGTCGACCCCACCCACGCACCGGCGCTCTTCACCATAAGTACGCACAATAGCTCTTGGGATTATAAATGGACCACCAGTTTGATATGATAGCCCTGCTTAACAAGGGCCATTCAGCGTAACTTTACGATAATCCCTGGAGTTCAGCAGGCTTTCTATTAACGAAGCAGAGGGTGGTGATTATTGTTCGATTGAACTGCTACCATTTCTAGAACAAGCAAGAGGAAATTTTAAAACTGCTATCACTCTCCAATGTTTCACATTAATACCTATGTTATGTTCACGGACGTGCTTAGCGTTACATAATCGTACCAATGAAATCATCCCATCAAAAGCATGCATAAAACCCTTGGTATTGTAAGACAGCCCTCAATCGCAGCCTGCGTCATTTCCTCAAAAATAAAATCACACGCTGTAGGGCAATGATTGATATTATGCCTGCAAACGCAGACAAATGTTAGGCAGTAGCAAGGTTTATGCCCCAGTTGCCACATCTGCAACCCATGCAGCCCTTACAGCTTACAGACTGCAGGGCCTTCCGCAATATCCCTTGCCATCTCGATGCTGAATTAAGCCATGGAAGTCGCCTTGGACACCGTAATTGCTACTTCAGACCATCTCCGGGAGCTTAGCGTACAGCAATTAACTTAGCAAAGTGCCGCTGATTGTGTATCACTGCGAGCGCGCTATAGAAGACTGGGTAGAGGCGGTAATCCATCCGTCCAGCGCCGCTCGTTCATAAAGGTTGCTGGATGGAATATGTGCGTCCCTGGACTTACTCAAGCTAACTTGAGTAAGCTGCCAACTCAATATTTTATGTGTATAAGAAACATGCAAGGTATTGCCAAACCCCCCTCAGGAAAAGGTAAATACACAGAGGCATGTTTCTTTTGGACTTTGTTTTCTTCATGGATTTTGATAAAGCTTAAGTATATGTTTTAAGTGAGCGGTCTACATTTAAGCGCCAGTCTTCAGTGTCATGGTCCGGGTCTTACTTGCTTGTCTCTGCTACCTTATTCGTGACCATCGGTGTGTACAGGTTTTTACAATGGGTGGCACAACTCATAATTGTTTATTGCAAGACTCCCTTTATCCCCACTGCAAGCGTGCCAGATCGCTTGCGTGGCGTGCATCATCGTGTGTTTTCAATCTGCTGATTTAACGTAGTTGCATTAAACGATTAAATGTAGTGATTTTCTCAACGATTCTATAGCAATCTTCTATTAGTCGACCTTTCTTTGCATGCATATCATGCATACAAAATACATGATAGGGGGCACGCGCCCGGTCCCCCCACGGCCACGCCCCTGCTCATGACAAACCTGTAGTACACCCTTCAAATGTTTTGTGATCCTTGCGGGTGGAGAGATCAACATTAACTGTAATATGCATCGGGGTGTCAAAAAATCAGTTGTCTTTTACTTCGCACAGGCAAACTACCAGTGTCAGTACCTTGAAGTAAGCAGGCTTCACATTACGCAGCACGTTTGTCCACCGGATCATTCTCGGGAGGGAGGAACGGATATATTTGTTTTAATGTGCCTGC